TGATAAAGTACATGATTAATATACACAAAACCCTGGGTCCAATCCCAGCACAAAAAAAGAGAAAACAGTGATTAGAAAACATCTTGGAAACAACCTGACTAAATGAATTTACTTTTTCAACTAAAATCTTTATGAAATCTCAACATAAGTCAAATATTTACAATGAAAATTTTGTACCAAATTAAGATATACCCTTCTGCAATCTGTTATACAGGGTAAAAATGGGATTTCATAACCCACTTGAATCAAAGTGTGAAATATGATATATCAAGAACTATATAATGTTTTGAACAACCAACAATAAAAAATAATTTTTAAAAAGATATACCCAAAATGCAAAATACATACTAGATATAAGATATCTTATTAATGATTTTTATTTGAAGTAAATATGAGAAGAATAATATTTGAATATATTGGGTTAAATAATATATTATTAATTTCAACTTTCAAATTTAATATGATACATAGCTTATATCATACTTCTATTGCTAATCTACAAATACAAACTTATTAAATAGACACAGAGACAAATTATAAAAAGATGCTTCATTCTACAAAAAGCTTACTTTAAGTTGAAAATACCTCTGTTGCCTCTAAAGCACAATCTTAATTACATGTTTGAAGTACATACAATTTGGAGGAAAAAAGTTTATAGTAAGAGTCATCTTCTTAGATCAGTTCACAAATAAAGCATGAGAAAGCATACTATACCAAATTATTAACAGTGATTTCAATAAATATTTAATAGATAAACAGAAAAAAAGAAGTTGGCACCTAACACTATGAAATCAACAGAAGGTAACTAATGCCCCAGATAACTTCTCAAGGGATTTAACTACAGGCTTAAGATCTGAGCAAATCTATGTTCCATGTCAGCTGGCTAAGAGACAGAGAAAGGGGAAAAAAGTTGAAGACCAAAAGTGTACAATTCAGATAAGCAAATAGGTCATTCAAAACTGCCTTTTCATAAAAGGTGAAGAAAATTATTAAACCTCAAGGAACTAGGAAAGGTAGAGAAAAGTTTCATGTCTTTTTCCCCCTAGTCACGGGAAAGTGTAAAGAAAAAAAAAGGCAAAGATTTATAAATTATAGAAAATAGTAATTGCTTGAATAGCAAGATAATATTCATGAATATTATTTTCCAATAAATGATAGGTATTCTAAAAAAGAAGGTTCTACTTATTGTCATAGGATACACAGATTATTTTATGTGACAGGAGACCAAAAGAGGCCTGTGTTGTAGGGATTATTAACTTCTGTTGTTTTTTTCCCATCTTAGATATTTACATTCAGAGGGAGCTTCTCAACACAAGCTTCAGTTACTCAGGCTTCAGAGAAAACAGGAATGAGCCATGTCCCTTTAAGTGGTAACCTAGCAACTTTCTGAGGGGATTAGAACACAAGGACCCTTGGGGAGGAAGAGGATTCAAATCCCAAAAGCAGATTCACAGTTCTCTGAACTCCTGGATTATCATGGGGTAACTGCAGACCTTAAAGCCATTTAAAAGTAGAGCAGATCCTGTTCATCAAGTAGAGTGAGAGGCACAAGTTCTGAGTGCCCACCATGTGCCTGACATTAAACAATCTCATTTGATCATCACAATGCCTGCAAGGTAGAAGTTATCCCATTTAACTAATAATGAAACTGATTAAAAGAGTTTAAGTGACTTGCCCAAGACTCATAGCTAGTAAATGTCAATCATTGAGAACCCAAGTATGGACTCTACTACACCAAATGATGGTCCTTATCCATACTGTTATAACCCTTGAAAATAGACTAACCCCAAGACTCACAGCACAGCTTAGTGATTTACAAACTTGAGTGCACTCCCTATCAACATCCCAATGGCCAATTTTACAGAGATAAAGCTGATCCTAAAATTCTTATACAAATTGCAAAGAATTACAAAGGACCCTGAATGGCCTAAACAATCTTAAAAAAGAACAGTAATATTAGAGGCCTTTGTGGAAGCAACCTAGATCCCTTCAATAGATGAATGGATAAAAAATAAATGTGGCATTTATACACAATGGAATATTACTGAGCAATAAAAGAGAAAAAAATCATGGCATTTGCAGGTAAATGGATGGAGTTGGAGAAGATAATGCTAAGTGAAGTTAGCCAATCCCAAAAAACCAAATGCCGAATGTTTTCTCTGATATAAGGAGGCTGGTTCATAGTGGGATAGGAAGGGGGGAGCATGGGAGGAATAGAGGAACTCTACACAGGGCAGAGGGGTGGGAGGGGAAGGGAGGGGGCAGGGGAATGATGGTGGAATGTGATGGACATCATTATCCAAAGTACATAAATGAAGACACGAATCGGTGTGAATATACTTTGTATACAACTAGAGGTATGAAAAATTGTGCTCTATATGTGTGATATGAATTGTAATGCATTCCGCTATCATATATAAAAAATAATTTTAAAAAGATTAAAAAAAAATTAGAGGCCTTACCCTTCCCTACTTCAAAACTTAATATAATGTAATAGTACCCACAAAGGATGCTACCGGAATAAGGATAAATGTACAGAACAATGGCATATAAAGAGTCTAGAAATACATCCATAAATCTATGGTAAATTGATTTTTTTTTTTTTTTTTTTTTTTATTGGACGTTCATAACATTACATAGTTCTTAATACATCATATTACACGGTTGATTCACGTGGATTATGAACTCCCGCTTGGTAAATTGATTTTTTAATATATATTTTTTAGTTGTAGATGAACAAAATACCTTTGTTTGTTTATTTATTTACATGTGGTGCTGAGGATCAAACCCAGTTGCCTCACACATTCTAGGCAAGCACTCTACTACCAAGCTACAGCCCCAGCCCAGTCAATTAATTAATTAATTAATTAATTAATTAATTAATTAATTTTTGAGTATTGGGGCTTGAATTCAGGGGCACTCAATCACTGAGCTACGTCCCCAGCCCTATGTTGTATTTTATTTAGAGATAGGGTCTCATTGCTAAGCACTTCGCCATTGCTGAGGCTGGTTTAACTTGAGATCCTCCTGTCTCAGCCTCCTAAGCTGCTGGGATTACAGGTGTGCTCCACCACCCTCAACTCAATTAATTTTTTATGACAGTGCCACAACCATTCAATGGGGAAAGAATGGTTTCCTCAACTAATCATGCCAGAACAAGAATGAAGGTGGACTTTTACAAAACACAATATTAAAAAAATTAACTCAAAATAAATCAAAGACTATTTAGCTTAGGGTTAGGATTGTGGCTCAGAGGTAGAGCCACATGCATGCACATAAGACATTTCTCCAAAGAAGGCATACAAATGGCCAAGCACATGAAAGCACACAAAAAGATGATCACTGTCATTAGTCATTAGGGAAATGAAAATCAAAACCATAACATCACTTCATACCCACCAGATGACTATAATCTATAAAACAGAAAACAACAAATATTAGTGAGAATAAAGCAAAATTGGAAGCCATTATCATTTTGGTGAAAATGTAAAGCAGCTGCTGTGGAAACAGTTTGACAGCTCCTTAAAGTTCAACAGAATCAAGGCACAGCGGTTCACACCTGTAATTCCAGTTTCTCAGGAGGCTGAGGCAGGAGGATTCAAGTTCAAGACCAGCCCCAGCAACTTAGTGAGACCCTGTCTCAAAATAAAACTTAATAAAGGGGTCAGAATGGTAGAGTGCCTCTGGGTTTGACTCCAACTACCACAAAAAAAAGAGAGAGAATTATCTAATAATTCATTCCGAGTCATACTCAAAAGAATTGAAAACAGGTACTTGAACAAAACCTTGTCCACAAACCCTCAGAGCAGCACTATTCACCACAGACAAAAGGTAGAAACACCAAAAATATCATTTGATAAAAGGATAAATTCAATGGAATACTATCCAGTCATAAAAACGAATGAAGGACTGATACATGCTCCAACATGGACACACCCTGCCAATATGCTAAGTGAAAGAACCCACACACACAGAAGGCACAATTGTATGATTCCATTTCTATGAAATATCTAGAGTAGGCAAATCCATAGAGACCAAAAGTAGATTAGAAGTTTCTGGGGGCTGGTGGCATAGAAAGTGACTGCTTAATGGGTGTGGGCTTTAATTTCTTTTTTCTTTTTGTTTTGTTTTTCGCAGACCTGGGGGATTACACCCAGGGCTTTTTCATGCTAGGCAAGCCCTCTACCACTGAGCTACACCTTACTTCTGGGATAATGTCTCAGACAGTGGTGATGGTGCACAACATTGAGAATGTACTAAATGCCAATGAAATGTGCAACCTAAAATGGTAAATTTTGTCACACATAATTGCTGAGAGCCATTGCCAAGTAGGAATGACGCATCGAAATTTTCTTGTCAGCCTACCCCATGTTGCTTAGAGGAAGGACTCTCCATTGTGGAAATGGGCTTGCCTTTGGACCCAGGTCATTTGCAGTGACATTGCATGTATGCTTGAGTAAGGTGACCTTGCTCAAGGACCAGGGCGGATCCGGGTTTAGGGCGGATCAGGTTTTAGGGAGTATCCTGCTTCTTGGGTTTAGGGGGTTCCAGGTTTAAGGTGTACCCTGCTGGGAATAGGGTGTATCCTGCTGCCTCAGGCACGCCAGCTCCGCCAGCTCCTTGAGTTCCCGTTGAGTTCTCCTGGGATTCAGAGAGTATTTGGGATTCAGAACGTGGATTTTGCCCAGAACGTGTGTAGAGTGCCGGTGTGAGTTCGGGAATAAAGAATTGCTGTTTGAATCTATAAGGCTGTGAGTGGCTCGAGATTTTGTGCCCAGCCAGACTGTGGCACATAATTTATCACAATTAAATATATACACACACACACACAAACAAACATGCATGCACATATAATTTTAAAAATTTTAAATAATCTTCAAGTAACAATAGATTTTTCTCATGACCAAGGCCTTTTCTCTATCCATACGTCATACTAATGTTTTCCAAAGTTGTCAGGAAAGTTGACCAGCTCTGCCCTCTGTGGGAGAGGTTATACCTACCTCCAATTACTCGAATATTGTTGTCCTTTGTCAGAATGGCCTCAGCATGGAATACCAAAACTGGAATTCTCCTGCAGCCTCCAGTCCACATGATACATGGATGATCCCTACAAACATAACAAAAGTCTTCAATAATTTTCAGCTCAAAATCTGAATTAACTTTAAGCAAATTACTATGGTTTGATGCTTAGCAACTTTCCCCTTCTTTCTAGAATAAGAACCCCAAATATCCTGTGGAAAAATCACTCATCTTCAATTCTTAGCCAGGGTTTTCAGAATAACCCTTGAGAAGGGCTGGACCTTGACTGGTTTCAGCCAATGAAGGAATGGGATCATTCAGTTACAGGATTGGTTCAAAGATGGGGACATAAACCAATTATAACCCATGAGAAAGAGACATGTTCCCAGCCCCTGACCCTTTCTCTTCCACAGTAACTACAGATGATGGCCTCTCTTTCCAAGAGCAGAATAAGAATGAGAAGTCTGGCCCTGCAATGGTCATTTTGAGATACTGAGGGGAGAGCCCAGAGCTGTCAGTGAAGAAGGAAGTCAGGGGAGCCTAACTGACAGGAGGAGAGAAATGAAATCCTGGGTAATAGTCAGAGCTGCAAAAGCAAATCTTGCCTAAATACGAGTTATGAATGCCCTGTCTTTTTAGGACAATTTGAGTCTTACTGTAATCCATTGCGTGTGTAAAGAATAAAAACTGATATATTCCCCAGTAATTTATATACCCCTTTAATACTCTATAATTCCTTTTTAAACCAATTTGATGTCCCATCCTAAGATTCTGGGCTACAAACCCTAAATTAAAACAAGAATCTCAATTAAAATCATATTTTTAAAAAAATATAGTAAATGGGAAAATATATATATATATATATAATTCTTCTACTACAAAATCATAAGGCTTTTTTCTCTTTCCCTATCCTCAGGAAAACTCAATTTAATCATCTTAGATAGATGATATTTACTCATGGATTAAGAAACTCTTTGAGTAGGAAAGTAGAAAGGGGGAAAAATTAAAGGAACTGAGTCCCTACTATGTGGCCAGTAATGAAACTAAGAACTTTCATGTCATCCCACTTACTCCTCTTGTCCATATGATGAACTAGAAAAAAGTGTCTCAGAAGTTCAGTAACTTGCCCAAGGTCATACGGCTGCTTAAGTATACAGGTCTTTGAACCCCGGTCTCTTGTTCTTTATACCCTTTGCTGAAAAATCGTATCTCAGTGAAGTTCAGCATATCAAACACCCTGAACACAACTCTTCCGGAATTTAAACGAATCAATTCCTTACTTGGAATAAGATTCATTTAGCCAACAATCACACTAAAAAACTCACATGACCATACCCCTTAACAAGAGCCATACCACAAATCTCAGGGCCAACTCACATCCTTCCAATCCAATCTGAATGCACAGGTACAAGCAACTAATCTTAGAGGTTTCAGCAGCCTGCAGACTTGGGTTGAGTTGCCATCAGCTTTTTAGTGAAGACAGCAAAGAATGCCATACCTCGTTCATTTTCTGTTTTCTAGAAATGGAATGTAAATGCTAATTGTTTTTTTAATGTTTTTTTAGTTGTAGATGGACACAGTAACTTTATTTTGTTTTACTTTTATGTGGTGCCAGGGACTAAATCCAGTGCCTCATACGTGCTAGGCAAGCACTCTACCACTAAGCCACAACCCCAACCTGCTAATTGTTCTTGTTCTTGGTCATGGTACCTGTCTGTGAGAAATGGTGTTTATAGGATCCTTTCTTTCTTTCTTTCTTTCCTTATTTGTTTGTTTGTTTTAGCAAGGATGAGTTTTGGTGGTTTGCTCGATTTTTAACTTAAACACCTGTAAAACATGGGCTCAGACCAGATGATTCCTATGATCTCTATAATTTTTCCACCATATTTTCATGTCAGTGGATAGACTGAGCAGATAGGCAGTCTGCACTATGAAGTCTTGGACAAAAGAACTTTGGAAACTACCCAAAGTTCCCTGTCAATCTAGCACTAGCTACAAACTGGCACCACTGTGCCTTAGCACTTACAAACAATGGATGGCTGCTACAGTTAAAAATGCCCAACCAGATCAGCAACACAATAGACAGACACACAGCTGGAAAGAGCCACCGCCCTGATTTACAGTCTGTAGGAAGCCATATCCCTGACAGAGAAATCATTTCATTTATAACCTATGGAAAGGTAAAAGTAGTAAATCATTAGTTCACCACGGTCAACTGAAAAACACTTAAGGCAGATGTTAAATTGGCACTAAAAACATGCTCCCAGCAGGTAGTACTAACGGGAAGTAAAATTTTAAATGACTGGGAAACTGAACATTGGGACCTCACAGGTTCATTCACATCAGAAACTGGTAATATGAAGAAAATGCATTTTCAGACATGAAAGGACAAGGAATTTTCAAGACTAATTACTGAAGAAGACCAGTTCTATGGCTCATTTTATTGAAAGTCTAATAGTTGGTTTTTATTTATTTATTTAGATGCCAGAGATTAAACCAAGGGGCACTTGATCACTGAGCCACATCCCAGCCCTTTTTATTTTATATTTTGAGACAGGGTCTCACTAAATTGCTTAGGGCCTCACTAAAGTACTGAGGGTGGTCTTGAACTTGTGATTCTCCTGCCTCAGCCTCCTGAGCTTCTGGGATTACAGGAATATGCTGCTATGCCCCACACATTTTGGTTTTTAAGAAGCTATTTCATGAGGAATATACACTATTCACTCCTGGGACCCAGCCTACATAATTCAAAGACAGAGATACACAGCAGGTTAGCACTCCTGCATCTGTGACCTCTTCGTACCACTGCCCCTGCTAGCAAGGCTTTCACACCACAGCCCACCTCAAATGTCACCACCTCCATAGAGCTTTCACCACCAGCTCCTCCAGTCCACAACCACACTCTCCTTCCGGAACCCCTGCAGCAGTCACTGTGAAATTGTTTATTGTTCATCTTTTAAACTGATTTAAAATCACTTTTCATGATAGAAATTAAGATTACTATTTTTTCAGTGACTAGAGAAACCTTATATTGAGTTCTTATATGAAAATTTCCACTTCTACATATAAATATATATTTGGGATCCCCAAGCAAAATACAGAATAGCCTTTTTACATTTATTATTTGAAATAGTGCTATGTAAAACAAGGACTTCTAGGATGGTTTCTAACCCTAAAGTCCAGGACTACAAGGCGTTAATACTTTCATAAAGCCTAGGGATCTGAGTGGATCTTACTTACAGTTGTCTAAGGACATACATCTCTGGATCAAAATCAACATCATTATGCGACTGAAAGCCTTCTAAGTTTCAAAACTTTCTCAAGGTAAACCTACTGTGAATAAAATTGCTCACATACAAGTGTCCAATAAACAAAAAATAAGCTGATGGAACAAGATAAAAAGTCAAAATTCAATAGTAGAAGTCTGAAAGAAAGAAAAGCAAAAGGTCCAAAAATTTGGATGGGGTAAAGAGAAATAACATCTATATTTTCAGTAAATTCTATAAGAAATTTAGCCTTTCTCAACTAGGAGTATAGGCAGGAAACCAGAGGAGTACTAGCAGTGTCTGTGCCCTTACTCTAAGCCCACTAATAAGACAGTAATGAAGTAAAGGAACAATCTTAAAAATGGAAAGACCGATGCTTACTGCAGAAGTTAAATTTTTTGTGGTGTAAAAGGCCACACTCTGAAAGAAAAATGGCACAAAAGGCCAAGTAACCAGAGGGAATTACCCATTTAATTATCCTGAAAGAGAATGACCCAAATATATTGTTAAATTCCTATTATTTTCTATGACCTAATGATGAGGAGAAGTCTTTCCTCAAAGCTGTATTAATGCTTCAATAGTTTTCTTCAAATGCTATTAAGTAATGTAATCTTCTACCCTATAAAAAGTCTAACATAAATTCAATGAACCAGTTAGAATTTGTCTTACATTTGTATGGTACTTTATGTAATTTACCAAATAATTTCTCACATATGATTCTATTCGATCCAAACCATACCCAAACAAAATAGCCTGGGAGATACTAACCCTATTTTTCAGGTTACACAACACACATATATCCAAAAGGATGCAGAGTACATAAGGAAAAAAAAAAAAAAGGTATCTTAACTTTAAGACAAACTGTCTCTATATTCTGTGTCAAATATTAAAGGAGGCAAAGCAGCAAAGCTTTTCAAAATCCAGGAAAGCTAAGTCCTTGAGGAAATTTCTTGATATTTATAAGGCCAAGTTTAATAAAGTAGAAGTAATATCTTCTAATTAAATAAGATATAATACTTTAATTTCCATATTAAATGAGAACAGATGAGAACTGATGAGATGAAGCCCTTATCATCATTTATAGCAGCTGCACTTATTTCTATCATTCATTTTTATTATGAAGATCCAACGATCAAGATATTTGGACTCTTACTAAAAGAATTCAGGAAAACAATTGTGGTTCAATGTATGCAGAACAGACTATAGAATCTAATATCCTGCCCCAGAGTTGCCATGGTAAGTTATATGACCTCTTTATATTACCACCACTCTATCATTGAAAGGCTTTTGAGAAAACTAGCACAACAGTCAACATCACAATTTGGAAACCTACTTTTATTAAATATCTAAAAATTTGAGTCTCCTTATTGGATGTTCTGCTCAAAAGCGCACCAAAAGCTACTACCTACATTTTACAACATCTAGAGCTGATATTCACTCATGAACAAAGAAACAAAGCCTTATTTCTGATATGTGATGGGAACTAATAAAATCTTGATCATCTAATGATTACGGATAAAAGCTAAAACCAGAGCCAGACAATAGCAATAGAATAATACTGGGTTGAACATATGAGTGAAAGAAACTATTTTCCACCCCAAAGGTAAAGGGTCAAAGCAGGCTTGCTGTTACTTACTCTTGGCTTACCACCTCCTCATCCTCTGAGGAAGATGCTGTTTCCTCCAGGTCCCGGGCCATCACGACTGGCATTTCCTTTAGAGTTTGTCATGCAGTCAGCAGACAGGGGCCTCAGAGACCTTTCCTTGCAGATTCACTGGATCAGACAATTTGGGTGGCACAGATTCCTGCAAGAAAATCAAGTGATCTGAAACATAATAGAGCTTTCTCTTTCTTGATTTTGCTGGTGATCTTCCAAATAACGAAAAGGAATATATTCCTAAATAGTGCCCAACCTCCAGAATCCTACCTTCTATCACAGTGCCTCAAATATGCCTCAACAATCAAGATTTTTTTCAAACATACTATCTATGCTCTGTGTAGTTGTAGAACTTAATTAAGTTTATTTCTCTCCCTTGTCTTTTATATACTAAGTCTAACGTATACCAAAGCAGAAAATCCACTTCACTTTTAGGGCAGTCTGAGGTAGGTGGCTGATTCCCTAAAACAGATTCCTTGCCAGACAAATCCAACCTAGGTTAAAAATAAAAATTAAGACTCAAGTTTCCAGACCCTTGTGAATTTATCTAAATTGTGACAAGCACACAGGCTAGCTGCTATCATATTTCTAGTAAAAACAATTCACCTGAACTAAAAGATTTATGAATATAATCCTCCTAATCAAGGGTCTTATAAATAGGTGGGGAAAATTTTTCAGTGCCCTTCCAAACATTCTTAATTATTCTCACTAAAAATCACGAACTTCGATCTTAATCTTAAATAGGTATTAAAATTAGGAAATTCCCAACACTGCATTTCTAACTTAAAAACATTTTTAGAGGAAGGAACAGAAACTATAAAGAAAATAAAAATGTTTAAATGACCATAATCTCCATACTCAGAGATAATAATCTCGTGTCAATGTTTCTAAGATATTTGGACTCTTACTAAAAGAATTCAGAAAAGCAATTGTGGTTCAATGTATGCAGAACAGGCTATATATCCTGCCCCACAGTTGCCATGGTAAGTTATATGACCTCTTTATATTACCACCACTCTATCATTGAAACTTTATTTTCCTACGCATTTATATAAACAGTAAGATTGTAAATAAGATGAAAAACACCCACCCGGATAAAGATCCCTACAGATTTTTCGCAAAAAAAAAAAAAAAAAAAAGGCGAAATATCTAACAACCTTAGTGACTCTCTTCAGGGGATTCCAAAAAGGATTCCCCAATCTTTTCCCAAAATGTTGAGAAGTCTATTCAGTTAAAACAAGCCAAAGCTCCGAGAGAGGAAGGCATGCCAACCTTTGCCGGGCTCCTGCAGAACTAGGAGAGACTCCGCGCTCGGAAATGAAAGGAGTCTGGCTGAAAGGGAGTCCTTGCCATGAAGGGTCTGCCCTCAGCTCCAACCCCAGCTCATCCCAATCCCAGGTAGGTCCGCGGGTGCTCCCCACCGGGAAGGCGCGGACACTCTGCAGCAGCAATTCAGCCTGGCGCGCCCGGAAGCCAACAGCTGCTCCGGACTCAGGGGAAGTGCAGCGGACGGCGCCCGCCCAGACCTGGGAGCGCACCTCCCAAGGAAGGGGAGCAAGCCAGCGCAGGCGTTTACCTGTCTCATCTTCCCATGGCTCGGAGCAGGCAGGCGGGGACCGCGCTCTGCGCCTACCTTCCTCCTCCTGCCCCAGCCAGGCTCACGGCAGTCGCCGACGGCTGCTTCCCCCGTTACTACAACAACCAACAAGCAACCGCCCGCTCGGAGCCACTGCGCAGGCGCCGCCACCGGGCGCTGACAACGCCCGGCTGCGGGCGCTGACGGATGTCGTCACTGCGGCGCGGCGCGGGCCCTGAACCCTGCTGCCGAAAGAAGGATGTCTTGGCTCCTATTTTCCACTCTTATTTTCTCCGCCCCTAAAAGGTTGATTCCAAATCCATAATTCCGCCACGCTCAACAGGAGGGTTTACTGAGTGAGCGGCGTACCAGAGGAGAGGCTTAGGCAGCGGCTACCGCTGATTGGCAGCGAAGGGGTTCACTCCCTATCTCCTGCTCCAGCGTATCGGGAACAGCCAATCAAAGAGAGGGCTGACCGGAACGACCCAATCCTGAAGCCCGGCTGAGGACAGGGGCGGGGACAAATGGCTCAGGTGGACTTGYGGCTGGAGCAGTCCTGGGGGAGCTTATTTGCTGCTGGTTCTGTGGTGCTGGGGTTCCGATCGCCAGGTAGGAGAACTTGGAGAAGGAGCTTGAAGGTGTCTGTGTGGCATCTGATTGGGAGGATTTGGAGAGACTGGGATAATAGAGGTTGCCAGGGAGGTACCTTTGGAGGAAAGGGGTTCGAGAGAAGATGACAAGGGAGGGTCAGGAACATGGAGTAAATAAGGAATGGATGAATGAATGAGAAGCCTCTATGAACTTAGCACTGTGCAAGGAGCCTTCACTTTTTCTCATGTAATTTCTATAACCCTTGAGGCATATTTCTGTATCTCCATTTTGCAGATGAGGAAACCGAGTTGCAGAGTGTAAATGACTTGCCCAGGGCCCCATAGCTACTGAATGGTAGGGTTAAAATAGGAATTCGTCTCTCCTGACTCTTAGTTTTTAACACCTATGCTGTACTGGGCCGGGGAAGAATTGACGAGAGATGTTGTATACTCTGATAAGACCCTAAAGCTTTAGGGAAATGGGATTGAGGAATTGGTGGAGCAATTCAGAAATGGTCAGGTTCTTGTTTTCAGCTATCTGCTGGGATTTCTAAGATTTATGAAATGGGAGTCATAAGTTCTGCTGAAAGGGCGTGGCATGAGGGCATCCATGCAACTTTTTTAACCCTGGCAAGAGACATGAAGCTCTAATTGAGAGGAAATAAAAAGAATAGGTGATTCATGGCCCAGGTTGTAAATGCCAGTGATGTCCAATAGACACCTATGCACTCAGAATTTGGACAGAGTCCTTCTTTGTAACACACATTTCCCTGAGGAGCTCATCAATTCACTTTTTCTTCTCTAGAGCTCTTTCTTGATTGGAGAAATCAAGAAAGAAATCACATTGTCTCAGGCAGTTGCTGACTTAAATAACCTAACTCAGCTGAGTAGCATGGAACTGTACTGAAACTCTACTGCCAAAGTGTCAAAGGAAGCCCAATATTTTATTGTCACTTGAGGCCCAAGAAGTTAACCAGATAACAGAGAAAACTTGGACCAAAAGATAATAATGAATCTGGGAAGAAGCTGTTCTTTATTAGAACTTCTTTATCTGGGATGCCTTTAAATCAAACTGATTGAAATCACTATTCAACAAGGGTTGGTCTAAGATTTAAATATTTGGTCTAAGCTTTAAATATACTTGAAGACAGAAATGGATATGGTATGTTTGTCTTCATCAAAAACAGGAACATCATCAAAATATTCTCAGTGAGATAGTTTAGCAACAAAGTCTAACAGATCTCCCTGCCATATGTTAGCTGTATAACCCCAAGCAAGTCACTTATCGTCCAACTCTCATGTATAAAATGGAAATAATAATAGTATCTGTCTACCTTTTTGTAAGGATTAAATGAGATGATATATGTTAAGTTCTTGGCACAGTGCATGGCACAAGTGCCCAATAATTGATGGCTATTGTAAATTTTCTTACAACCCAGTACCAAGATTGCTGTTTCTTTCTCCATAAAGTCACAGCAGTTTTTTTTTTTTTAACTTTTAAATTGTCCTAGTTTATGAAGCATGGTATATCTGGGAACCACAGTGAGAAAAACCTAATGATATAAATAGTGCCATTATACCACAGGTTCCACTCAATTGTATAAGGGTTTTATAGGCTTCAAAGAATCTGTCAACAATATCCAGGCAGGTGTCTGTAGTGGACTTAAAATCAATCACTTTTAAGCCACTTGCATGACAAAGGAATGATATGAAAAAGTAAAGATATAGAAGTCCTGATTCCAGCTAAGAGAAAGAAGTTCTGATTTAGGGTAATCCTGTATTTTGGAGAAATTACTTAGACAAAGATAAGTACTATGTCACTTATTGAAAAGTATACAGTTCATTTGCCACTCTTAGTGTGACTAAGTATTGGGACCAGTTTCCATAAGCCTCACACAGAGATCCATTCTGTTACTTTATAATAATATAATAACATAATAATAATGATGTTTGTACACCTCCTTTCTCTCCATTTTATCCTGGCAAATTGGTCATGTCCACCCATTGTATTATGGAACCTTTGTCACTTTGATTTAGGGTAAATATACACAGATATCAGGCTAACCCTGTGAAGTAAGAGTAGTGTGTTAGGAAAACCAGGGGCGAATGGATAGAAAGAACTTGGAGAGGAATTTGTGAAGTGATTGGTTAACTAAGCTCTGAACAGCCTTCATGAGTGGGATACAAGCTAAGCACAGAGGTGAGAGGGCTATGGTTAAAGTAGACTGACCCTCATCGCCTCATGTCCTTTGCCTTTGTTTCCAAGGCAGAACACCTCCTCTGGTCTAAGGGAGTCATGAGCCGTTTCCTGAATGTGTTGCGAAGCTGGCTGGTTATAGTATCCATCATAGCCATGGGAAACACACTCCAGAGCTTCCGGGACCACACCTTTCTCTATGAAAAGCTCTACACTGGCAAGCCAAACCTCGGTAAGAACTCAAAAAACTGCATCCTATGTGGGAGTGATCTAGCTTTGGTTCCCAAGGAAGGCTGTACATCAGAACAACCCGGGAAACTTCAAAACAAATCCAGGCACCCATTTCTCTCTCCAAATCTAATTAATGAGCCTGGGAGAAGCTCAGGAACCCAGTTTCTGAAAACCTCCAGGTATTTCTGAAACTTTGGTAGCCATTAGAGTTAACAAACCATAGAAAGCACTTGACCCTTTCTCCTCAAGCTTCCCTGGATACCTTTTTGTTCCTTTTATACTTCCTTGGGCAATTAGGGTGTACAAAAAGGTTTATTAGAGAAAGTGAGAGAATAGAGTTGCTTGGTGACTCTGGGATGCTCCACTCAAAAGACATCAAGAAGCTTCAGAATCCCAGAGCCCTCTTCAGAAATCACCTGGTCCTTGTTCCATGTTAAAGGTGGACAGTACTATCCAGGGTCTTCCCAGGCAGTGACGTAGTCCCTGAACAGATTCCCCAGATCCCTTCAAAGTGGTCTTCCAGAATGAAATTTCAGAATAGTGGCTCTCCCCAGTCCTGAGCCTCTCTGCAGAGAGCATTTTTACACTATAGCTTGTACTTCACCACATGGGTGTGTGGGGTACTTGGAGCTACAGCATTATTTCACAGCAGCTGTCAGTTCTGTGTCACACTAACAGCTAACCCAGATTCCTGCTCTGACCTAGCTCATCTTTCTGCCACATCTAGGTATAAAATGAAATTAAATAGGCTAAGGATCATTTTGAACAAAGCTCAAATATATTAGGAGTAAAGAACCTGCAAAGGAAAGCAGGAAATTTCTGGGTTTTCACCTTTCAGGGCTGCCTCATGGAAGCCTATATAGATGCCCAGGATTTCAGAGGTCATCTGGTCTAGCACTTTGATTTTAAAGGTGAGACTGAGAAGCGCAGAGGTCATATGACTTACTGTACAGCTGAGCAGAACATATATGTCAGGAGAAGGGGTGGAAGCTGCCTGTGTCCAGTGATTTGGGGGCTCCTGTGGTGTTCTCCTAATGGTAGCCAGGCTCTGGACTGTCCCATTGAATTTTACCTGGTCCTAGTCTGGTTAGGCCTACTGAAGCATTCCACTTAAGTCTCTTACAAATGAGAGCAAAATTTCCTCAGTCTTCTCTTTGGAAAAGCTATCAAATTATTTACAAAAGGATGTAGTTCTTGGGCTGAGGATGTAGCTCAATGGTAAAGCACTTGCCTAGTGTGTATTGAGACGCTGAAACAAAAAGAAAAAAGGTAGCCCTCTAGGGCTAATGCTAGATAYTTGGTTGGCATATGGAACTTTTTCTTACTACCAACTAAAGGTGCTCAATGCTGTGAATTTGGTAAAGCCATGAACCTTTCCAAAGGCTAGAAAATCCCTGAAGCCCAATTAACAGAGATCTTTCAGTCATCAGTCTTGTCCCTTGAAATTTCTCTTGCTCAGGAAGGGATAAACCAGTAAAGGAAGTATCTTGCCTTCACTGTTTGGCATTTCCAAGCCACTGGATGCYTTAAATTAGTGGCCCTACATTTGTCACCCGAGCAGGGAGTTTCTAGAAAACACCTAAGCCAGTGCCCACCTCTAGAGTATTTGGTGTAATTGATCTGCCACCTGGCCCTCAGTAACTTTATAAAATTCCCTGAGTTGATTGTAATAAGCAGCCCGGGTCAAGAACCACTGTTATGGGGGAATATGACCATATTTGAGGGAAGGGTATTTAATGCCGTGCCAGAATGAAGCCATCCAATACAGAGTGCCCCCAGCAGAGCCCAAAGAAATAGCACTTTATTCCACTACCACATACACAGAAAACCAGCCTGGTTTGGGCTTTGTTCAAACAACATAGATCTGGGTTCAGAAAGAGATCCAAGGGTTTAGGTCTCACTATATCTTTTAGGTATCTAGATTGGTGCGAGTATCTCTGAGATCTCTCCCTGGATCAGTCTTAAAGTCTGTGGGTCTGGGTCTCAGGCATCTCGTTTTAACAGACCCATCTCACAGCATTCCCTAAAACCTGTCCTGGCCCAGTCTTTCTGGGCTTCCAGGCAGAGAAGACAAAAAGAGCTGTATCTAAGAGTTATTTGCCTAAGTGAGTTTTTTGTTGGGTATCCACTCTTGGCAATTCCCCTT